TCCCCCCTGCCCCCTTGGCTTTGATTCTGGCAGCTTTAGAGCTGCTGCAGAGGTGAGAATTCTGTGGGGGAAAAAGTTCTTGGTTTTTGTTCTTCTTATGGTTGTCTCAGCCCTGCAAGAAGCACAAAAGCCAGAGTGACACAAGCAGTGAGTCTGTAAAGGCCTTTGATTGTTTTCAGAACAGGGGTGGCTGGAAACCCGCCCTGCAGGGCAGCTGGGAGGGAACCAGCCCAAAAATGCAGCAATTTGTCCCTGTCCCCAGGGTACTGAGAGAGCCCCAGGTCTACTGGAAAGAAAACAACAACAATCTGCTCCTTAACCTGACAGGGACCTGGCTCCTTCCCAAGCTGAATTGACAGAGCTGGACAAACAAAAACCATTTCTCCCAGTTTAATCAAAGAGCTGTATTTTGGGTCCAATAAGAGGGACAAGGGTCCTGTGCCTCCTGGCTCTAGGGAAGGGAGTGGGGAGCTCCTGGGGGTCCTGGGAGCACTGGGAGCACTGGAATGGGGAGCTCTGGGCAGCCCCACATGGGACCCCCACTCGTGGCCACCCCACAGACACGGTGAGCACCCATGGAAGCTTGGGGACACAGATGGTGGGTGCCCTCAGGCAGGGACCCCCAGTGCCCCCAGCGTCACAGCACGTCATTGTAGTCACGGGGATCCTGCTGTCCCTCATTGGGTCCCAACAGCTCCGCGTTGGTCACTTGTGGATCCCGAGGTGGGGCAGGGCTGGGGTACACCCGTGGGGGCCCTGAGAGAGACACCGGTTGTGGGGACCTCGGTGGGGCTGACACCCGTGGGTGACGTGTCACTGTCACCCTCTGTACTCACCATCTGCCCATTTGGTGCCCACAATGTGGGAAGTCCAGCACTGCCCCTTCCTCCCAGGGGATCCTGTGGGGATGGGGGGGCTCTGGGTCATGTCTGGGGAGGGGGAAAGGGAAGCCCCAGGCAGAGCCCCCCACTCACCTATCCTGGAGCTTCCTGGCAGCTGCAAGGGAAAGGGGAGAGGGGGACTGTGGGAACACTGGGACCCCTGATCCTTCCTGGGACCTCAGTAGCTCCAACCACCCACGGGACCCCCATATCCCCACTGCAGCCCCAAATTCCAATGGACCCCTGATTCCCCCAGGACACTCTAATGACCCCTGAACCTCCCGGAACTTCTGTATCACCATAGTGCCCCCAGTCCCCCTGATGCCCCCAAACCTCTGAGCCCCCAGAACCCCAAGCATGGAAGAGAGGGGGACCCACAAACACCCACAGGACCCAGAAAGATCCTTCAACATCCCTGCACAGCCCTCTAGGAGCTCTCCAAACCCTCCAGGAATGCCACCGCAGTGTTCCTCAAAGCCCATCCGGGGATGGCCCTGGAGCACAACTAAGACTCTCCAAATATCCCCCAAATCCCCCAAAATGCCCAGCCGAGGTCACTGCAGGCTCAGTGTCCCCCAGCTCAGGCACCCTGGGTGCTGCTGATCTCTGCCCCCACTCTGGGGGCTCCTCCTCACTCCAGGAACCCTATTCCCCCCGCCCCCCCACTGTCACCCACCCTGGTGGTGCCACCAGTGACAGCCCGCAATGACAGCCAGGAGCAGGAGCAGGAACAGGAGGGTCCTGCCGACATTCACAGCCACTGCTGGGGACAGAGGGGGAAACACTGAGGTGACCGTGAACCTTGGGGATCCTGGACACCCCAGCGACCCTGTGTGACTCCACCTGTGACCCAGGGTGAGCCAGGTGTCACCTCCAGGGCCAGCTCAGGGCTCGGTGCCCGGAACACGTGGTGCCCGTCCTGTCCCAGCTGGTTGGTGGCCACGCACTGGTAGGTGCCCGAATGTCCAACTTTGACAGCCTTGAGCTCCAGGAGGGGACCTTGGGCCACCTCCTGCCCATTGTGCAGTCAGGTGAAGGTGACAGGGGCTGAGCCCACCTGCACCAAGCTGTGTAGGGTCACGTTGTCACCTGTGTGCGCTTGATGTGACAGGGGACTTAGGGTGATGGTGGCATTGGCCACAGGCACTGTGGGGACAGAGACAAGGCTGAGGCCACAGGGAGGGGCTGGCAGCTGGTGTGAGGGGATAGGGATGAGGGGGATGGGTGTGATGGGGGACTTTGGGTATTGGGTCACAGTACAGTGGAGTGAAGGGACTGAGGGCGGAGGCGAAGGGACATAATAAAGGTGTCAGGGTTCTAGGGGAATGGGGAGCCCAAGGGATTGGGTCCCTGGGAATGGGGGTTCTGAGGAGGGGGAGTCACCAGGGATGGAGGTGCCATGGGAAGGGGGTGCCCAGGGCTGGGGGAACTCAGGAATGGGAGTCGCAGAACAATGAGAGCTCCAGGGATTTGGGGTCAGGGGATGGTTGCCCAGGGGATGGTTGTCCTAGGGATGAGGGTACCAGGGGAATGAGGGATCCAGTGGGCATGAGGGTTCCTGGGAGAATCAAGGTTCTGGGGAAAGAAGAATTTCTGGGGATGGAATGAATGGGAGAGGGTTCCTTGGGAATGGGGTGCAGGGCCATGGAGATCCTGGGGAATGTGAGTACTGGGATGGAGTCCCTGGGACAGGGGCACTGAAGGAATGGGGGTCCCATGGTTGGGTTCCCAGGACAATGGGGGTGCTCAGGATGGGCAGTGGCTTGGTGG